AGAAAGTTCTGTTGGATAACATTCTTCATCAACGGCTCGAAACTAAAAAGTTCTGTTGGATAACATTCTTTATCAACGGCTCGAAACTAGATAGCTCTATTGGATAACGTTCTCCATCAACGGCTCGAAACTAGAAAGTTCTGTTGGATAACATTCTTCATCAACGGCTCGAAACTAAAAAGTTCTGTTGGATAACATTCTTTATCAACGGCTCGAAACTAGATAGCTCTATTGGATAACGTTCTCCATCAACGGCTCGAAACTAGAAAGTTCTGTTGGATAACATTCTTCATCAACGGCTCGAAACTAGAAAGTTCTGTTGGATATCATTCTTCATCAGCGGCTCGAAACTAGAAAGTTCTGTTGGATACCATTCTTCATCAACGGCTCGAAACTAGAAAGTTCTGTTGGATAACATTCTTCATCAACGGCTCGAAACTAAAAAGTTCTGTTGGATAACATTCTTTATCAACGGCTCGAAACTAGATAGCTCTGTTGGATAACGTTCTACATCAACGGCTCGAAACTAGAAAGTTCTGTTGGATAACATTCTTCATCAACGGCTCGAAACTACAAAGGTCTGTTGGATAACATTCTTTGTCAACGGCTCGAAACTAGAAAGTTCTGTTGGATAACGTTCTTCATCAACGGCTCGAAACTACAAAGCTCTGTTGGATAACGTTATTCATCAAAGCCTCCAAACTGTAGTTCTTAGCTTGTATTGAAATTATGGAATTTCTTTTTCAATATGAGCAAAAATGCGCCATATTATAATATGTTTCACCACAAGGAGAACAAAACCAGATTGTTAGAACTAACTGGTCCATTCGCAATCTATAGGTCACGGGTTCGAATCCGGTCCTCAAACAATCTTGCCCTTTCGGTCGTGGGGGCGGTATAATATTACGGTCAATCACATTATTCGATGATAAAGAGTAACTCGGGAGTTTGATGATAGTGATGTTGACTAGCAGCCTTCTTGAGTCTGTTTTATGTGTATATATATAGATGGATAGAGAGACAGAGATACTGAGTCTGTTTTATGTATGTGTATATATATATATATAGAGAGAGAGAGAGACAGACAGAGATACGGAGTCTGTTTTATGTATATATATATATATAGAGAGAGAGAGAGAGATACTGAGTCTGTTTTATGTGTATATATATAGAGAGAGAGAGAGACAGAGATACTGAGTGTTTTATGTGTGTATATATAGAGAGAGAGACAGAGATACTGAATCTGTTTTATGTGTATATATAGTATAGAGAGAGAGAGAGACAGAGTACAGACGTCTTGTTTT